AGCAGCAGTGGTTGAAGGAACAGCCAGCACCATTCTATGTTTAGTAGACGCTGAACATACTGTAAAATTGTGCTAGGACAACTTCTCTATTGTGGACATTTCAACGTAAGACACTAAAGCGCCAAATTCTTTAAAAATAAAACTAGAAATTCTCGTGCGTACACACATTGTTTAAGAAAATAAAAAATAAAAAACAGAAAGTCTAACTCTCGGAAATTCACACACAACAAAAAACCGTTTTGGAAACGACAAGAAGTTCATCATTGTAAAAATTTCTAGAAGGAAAAGTCTCAAACGGTTCAGACATTTCTAGGAAAGTCTCACAGTAACTAATTTCCCAAACGGCATTGATCTTTGAAGGATGCGTTTAGTGGCGCAGTTGCCAAGCGATGACGATGTAACCGGAAGTCTAGATCACGTGGACAAACTTGACCAACTCATTAAACCAGAGAGGGATTTTGAATCTTCCATCTTTATAACGGTAAATAAAATGGCCACAGTGTTTCCAGTTCTCACATCTAGCAATGCTGATTCGACACTGGTTAAAAATTATGGTGGCTCCGGCTCCCAGAAGAAACCAGAGCAGGTGGCTGATATTTCTGAAGCAGGATGCAGGTTACGAAACAGTGGTGTCAAGGAACCACAAGTGTCAGTTCATTCTCAAGAGGATTCTCGTATTCTTCTCACAAGAAGCAGCAATAGCAAATTGCAGTCTGATCCTCAAAGCAACAATTCAGTAAGAACAGATTTTCAAAAGGAAGCGTGCGCGAATTCAGTAGAAAGAGCTGACAGTTCCAAAGGAAGATCCTCTTCGGGATTCCAAGATACAGTAGTGGCGGCTTTTATTGAACAGCGGAAATTTGATGCCAATAACGCAAAGGATAAAGCAACTTCAGTGTGTTTAAGGAGTTCCTCTTCGGATAATGCTGAGAATCAAAATTCTCGAGATGACTGTACTACTGATGGGAAGCTACTTCAGGATAATGTGTGCAATTCACAAGTATTTGAAGAAGCTGAGTATTCAAAACCGTTCAGTTATTCCTTGTCGTCAGATGGGATGCTTCTATCCACAAGCGAGAATACTGCGTTACATGCAACACCGGATATAACTAACCCAGCAACAGGAGAAAGGAGTAATCTAAAGAAGCAGAACTTACAGCATGCCCGAGATAAACAAGATGGAAGTCCAGGCGTGTTAGTATTACCACAACCAGCACCCTTATCGTCTTCAGTTGTTTCATCAGTAAGTATTTTCTTCTGTTTGTTTCGATCTCTCTTCTTTTCCTTTTAGGATACGATACCACTTATATTGTAAAATGTATCTCAGTTTTTAGTAAAGATCTAGTCGCTATAAGCGTAAGCCGTAACCATAAAAATAAATCATAGCGCGTTGTGCAGACAAAAAAGAGCATGTGGTAAATTTGAAATAGCAGTTGTAGTCATGTGTTTATTCTTCAATTTCCGGTAATGTAATGAACATTATAACTAGACAAATTGTGATTTGTGTATTTCATGTGAAAATAATTACGTCTCCTGCCTCTTTATACGACGTTAGTGCATATGTAATGTAGCTGACGAGATGAAGCGAAATGTGTCACGCAATAAACGGTACGGTGTATTGTCTGTGTCGGCTTTATTTAAATTTATACCAAGAAAACAAGGTTGAATATCACATAAGGTTATTCACAAGTGTTGCATGTGCAGTTATTCACGTCAAAAGTCAGAAGTGTGGCATGGTAAGTTATTCACGTCACAGTCAGAAGTGTGGCATGGGAAGTTATTCACGTCACAGTCAGAAGTGTGGCACGGGAAGTTATTCACGTCAAGTCAGAAGTGTGGCACGGGAAGTTATTCACGTCACAGTCAGAAGTGTGGCACGGGAAGTTATTCACGTCACAGTCAGAAGTGTGGCATGGGAAGTTATTCACGTCACAGTCAGAAGTGTGGCACGGGAAGTTATTCACGTCAAGTCAGAAGTGTGGCACGGGAAGTTATTCACGTCACAGTCAGAAGTGTGGCACGGGAAGTTATTCACGTTACAGTCAGAAGTGTGGCACGGAAAGTTAATCACGTCAAAAGTCAGAAGTGTGGCACGGGAAGTTATTCACGTCAAAAGTCAGAAGTGTGGCATGGGAAGTTATTCACGTCACAGTTAGAAGTGCGGCACGGGAAGTTATTCACGTCACAGTCAAAAGTGTGGCACGGGAAGTTATTCACGTCAAAAGTCAGAAGTGTGGCATGGGAAGTTATTCACGTCACAGTTAGAAGTGCGCACGGGAAGTTATTCACGTCAAGTCAGAAGTGTGGCACGGGAAGTTATTCACCTCACAGTCAGGAGTGTGACACGTGAAGTTATTCACGTCAAAATGCGTATGCCAAATTACCACAAGCTGCTTTGTCTCATGACTGACATGAAGTGTCTGAGCACGTCGCTCCTCAATTTCAGATTTGTAACATCCTAAAATGTTTCTCACGATCAAAATGTGGCGGTTTTCCCTTAACTTCACACTCGTTATCATCATCATCCTGCTTTGCCGTTATACGTCACACTAAATTCGCTGCTTATCCCACTCCCCCATTTCATCATTTCCAGTCAATCAGTCAGTCAATCAGTCAATCAATCACTCAAGCGCCGTCTTCACAGTGAAAAATGGCTGCAATGAATCTCCAACACGCTCTTTTTTCTTGTCCTGGTTGCACACTCTCTGACTGCTACCCGTCCATCTCTTGATGTTATCCTCCCTTTTGTATCGTTGCCAACCTCATGTTCTCTTGTCTTCGATCTTTCCCTCCAGTTTGGTTTTTAAAAGTGATGTTATGTCTTTTAATGTAGCCATTATTTCCTGTGCAATCATTTCAAAATCCTGGATGCAATCTACTCCAGTATCGTTGCGCTCTCTTATCAACGTTTGTCTTAGGGTTTCCCCGTGGAGTTCCTCGTTTGATCAGTCCATTGGCTTCCCATTTCAGTGCCTCAATGTTCGCTTCTCTTCAAGGATATGCCCCGTATATGGCCATATTCTTGGTCTTATAATTATGTATGCAAGCGGCTGACAAGGCAGTCTAGATCACCCCCCCCCCCAATTTAATTTGAGTTAGTGCCAAGACCCTCGAACCCTCTTGAGTAAATTGCAAGACCCCCCCCCCCAACCCTTAAGTACATAACATAACCCTCACACCCCCCCCCCCAACACTTAAGTACATAGCATAACCCTCGCCCCCACCCCCCAACCCTTAAGTACATAGCATAACCCTCACACCCCCCCCCCCCAACACTTAAGTACATAGCATAACCCTCACCCCCCCCCCCAACCCTTAAGTACATAGCATAACCCTCACCCCCCAACCCTTAAATACATAGCATAAACCTCACCCCCCCCCCAACACTTAAGTACATAGCATAACCCTCACCCCCCCCCCCAACCCTTAAGTACATAGCATAACCCACCCCCCCCCCCAACACTTAAGTACATAGCATAACCCTCACCCCCCCCCCAACACTTAAGTACATAGCATAACCCTCACCCCCCCCCCCCCCAACACTTAAGTATATAGCATTACCCTCACCCCCCCCCCCAACACTTAAGTACATAGCATAACCCTCATCCCCCCCCCCAACACTTAAGTACATAGCATAACCCTCACCCCCCCCCCCAACACTTAAGTACATAGCATAACCCTCACCCCCCCCCTCCCCCCCCCCAACCAATAAGTACATAGCATAACCCTCACCCCCCCCCCCCAACATTAATAACATGAATACAAAGAGGAGTCCAGTAAATTCTTCAACAAGAGAAACAGACAGTAAGGAGAAACGTCTTGGCCAGAATGCGTTCTTACTCTATCGTGAATTAACTGTTTATGTTATCAGATTAATTAGGTTTTTAAATGTAGATACACAAACGCGGCGTCCGTGGCTTAGTCGTTGCGAGCCCGACTTGTAATTTCAACGTACGGCGATCGAACCCCGCTGCTGGCTGCGGGGTATGGGACGTTGCAGGCCCACCCAGCCTAAAATGGGTACCAGGGTGTATGTCATGGGGAAGTAAAGACGGCCGGTGTAATGCTGACCACACTACCCACCTAGTGCCGATTGCAATGTAAAAATGAGGGTGCTCTTTCCATATGCGCGATGCGCCTAAAGGGATCTTTAATTTACTAGATACATAAACTGCTAATAAAAACAAAACAAAAATTTAATTTTTAAAAGTTTTATAAATATTTTACTATTACATTTATTAGTTAGTTAGTCTTTCCTCTTGTGTCGAGTGCGGCACATAGGGCAGAGGTCATGACTCTCCATGCATGGCGGTTCGTTGCAATCTGTTGTAGGTCTTGGAAGTTTGAGTGGCCCATGAGCGAGCCTTCCCTGATGATAGTTCTACGTAGGGTTTCCCTTGGTCTTCCACGAGATCTTTTCCCCTGTGGTGTCCAAATGAGGGCTTGGTAAGGAAGTCTTGATTTATCCATTCTAAGGGCGTGGCCGACATAGTTCCAGCGGCGTTTTCGTATAAAATTAGACACATACTCTTGCCTGGATTCTTGCCTTATTTGTGTATTGGTTCGGAAATCTGACCATTATTACATTTATAATTGACCTGAAAAAAAATAATATAACGGATTATTAGAAATACAAATGCACTAAATTTTAAAATTGCTTGACTCCTTACCCCCTCCTGAGAAAGCGTACCCCCCCCCCCCCCTTTTCCCAGGTTTGAGACATCTGTCTAAACCAGTGGTTCTTATCCTTTCTAATGCCGCGACCCTTTAATAAAGTTCCTTCATGTTGTGGCGACCCCCCCCCCCCCCCCCCCCCAAACAATTATTTTTCTTCATAACTTCAAAGAACATGTGTTTTCCAATTGTCTTAGGCGACCCCTGTGAAAAGGTTTTTCGACCCAAAAAAGGGTCGCGACCGGCAAGTTGAGAATCGCTGGTCGAGACTGTCCAGACATTAGTAAATACTAATCCATTTAACATATTTTATGTGGCTTTCACAGGTTATGACAAACAGTGAGTACCAACAAGGGCTGACCCAGAAAGCCAGTCCACCAGCGGAAGTGGCTACCTTCGATGATGTCATCACATCAGAGGTCGTGTCGAGGTCGCCAGAACCTGGAAGAAAAGAGGAACCTGAAAAAGTAGATCAAAAAGGCGGCGGGAAAGAAAGAAAAGGATTATCGGCCCGGATTTCAAAACGTTTAATGAATCTTTTTCAGGTAGGCCTCTGGGCCTTCAGGAGGAATGCCCACTGTAAATGCTCGTATATGTGTATGTTGTTACTTACATATCTTTTACAGTTGCAAGACCAACTCTGGCATTGTTTGGCTGTTCGTGATTAAAGCAGACATTTTCACGTTCAGTAGTTTGCCATTGTTACTGAACGATTAGCGCTCCATACCATTGCCGAAATCAAAGCAACTCGTCTGCAGTTGGAAGGGAATTGGGTTTTCGCAGAAGCGTGTTTGCAACTCAAAGAACTGAAGAAGCAACTGAATTTAACAGCAGTAACAAAAGAGTCGCGATAGGGCAGTGACGAGATGGTTTCTCAACAATCCGAAAGTGTTAGGTTCAAATTAGAACCGAGGCAGATCTTTATGATCAGTCTAGGGCACAAGTAAGTAAGTAAGTAAGTAAGTAATGTAAAAGACCCCTTTTCACGCCTTCGGGTGTTTGAGCATATAGGGCTGAACCTATATTTATAGACCAATCGGCAGTCGGTCGGCGATATGGTTCACATGCCGGCTGCCTTTACTGTCCAACACTACAGCTGGTACCAACTCAAGGCTGGGTCAACATGGGAGCCGCCAGAACACTAACCCACGACCTTCCGATCCGCAGTTGATCATCTAGCCGCTAGACCATGGCGAATCCCTCTACAGCACTATAGACAAATAAAAAAAAAAAAAAAAGACCAAGAAAATGTCTTGCAAGAAATTAACACACGAAGAGAATTGACTGCTCACATCAGAAAGAGACAATCAACATTCTTTGGTCAACATTTGTTGTCGTTGCTGTAATAGATCGTGACGGTGGGAGAGTGGGACGGGAGAAGAGGCAGAAGGAGACTGAGAGAGGAGATGCAGGACAGTTTTACATCATAGCATGCAAGACCACCTGTGCCTGAACTGACTGAAAGTACACGAGACAGAAGGCTGTGGATAGACATGACTTCCAACACCAGACAACATGGAATATAAGAGGAAGGAGGTCTTCAGATCGACTTAGCCTAAAACATGTCTCAAAAAATGTTACGGGAAGTAAAGGCGGCTGACGTGATCATATCTCATATAAAATACAATTTATCAATAAAATCATACGACTGGCACCATATGGCACCATATGTTTACCGTTAGCTTTGATGGATTTTTTTTACCTTTATTTAGTCGGCGTTTGTTGCTTAGTTGTTACGAACATTCTTCGTAATTCGTTGGTACCCTGTTCGATTCTAGCTGCTGACTCTTTGGCAGCATACTACTTAGCATTGATGTCGACAAACGGCATTGGGAGCCGACCGTTGAGCCGCAAAATCAAACTTCTGCACATAAAAGTGCCTAGTTAAACAACAAACCAACCCCACCCACTCCCCCCCCCCCTTTCCCTAATTTCAAAGATATTAAACCTGTGTTTAAGAACAGAAGTTTTGTTGCCTTTATTTATGTACATGTAATAAAGAAATGCATTCATGCGATTTGGAAACATTTTGATAATAAATTGGAAGTGTAATCTACAATGACAGTGAAGAATATGTCTGTCTGTATAAGAGAATAGCTGATAAATAGAACAGTAGATTCAATCTGTAAAAGTTTCAAGAAAGAAACAGACTATAGACGCAGTTTATGAGCTAAGTTGTCTCTAATGTTGTAGCATAAATGTACAGAGGGGCCGCCACAAAGAAAACAATGTGATGGGGCCTCAGCCAGCTTATAATTTTCTGGCGATGATAGCAGCATCTCGGAGAGTGAAATAACTTAACCAAACCAGGCGCCACAGTGGATGGGAAAGAACAGCGACAGAGAGCATGGTACCAGGAAAGAGAGGCAGGGGCCGAACAGCACGAAGAAAAGCACGGGATGTGAGAGACATACTGGGCAGTAAAGTGCATGAAAACTGGTTAGAGGCCGAATTCCTCTCCTTGTTTTGATAGTGAAAGAGTTAGCATATTTGTAGACTAAATTTTAGTTGCTATCTCAAGTTGTTACCTCTCTGTCTCTCTCCCTTCCCTCTCTTGGATCCCCTCTACCTCCAACCACTCAGCCCAGCCTCATTCCTCTTTCTGTCTGACATTTCGAGAATATTTAAAGTCTGGAGTGAACCGATAGCGCCTTCGGTAGAATCTATCTTAGGAAACAAAAATAAACAAAAAACAAAAAATGACAGCCCATAGCAAACAAACTTTCTACCTTCATTTCTACCTGTTCGAGTATGCATCCTTACCTGTCCGTATCTACCTGTGAGTTATAAGTTAATTGCGTATCCTTTACAGGACGTTGCATAACCAACCCCAGCATTCGTTGGCTGTTTGTAGTTTTTCTAGGCAAGTTTACGTTCAGTAGTTTGCCATTGCAATCTGGACGGTCGGCTTCTCGATACCACTGTCGAAACCAACGCAAGGCCCAAGGCCCGCAATTGGGATCGAACCCAGTACCTCGGGGTTACAAAGCGCGTTCGCAACACTTAAGCCACAGACGCCGACTGTCTACCACTGTCTACGCAGGGCTTTTTCCTCATGAAAACCGGTACAGTGTCTAAAAAAGGTACCGGCACGCAACACAAAGTGTCTATTGCAGTAGTACTGAAAAAAGGTATCAGTTATCAGTACCGTTGTGTACAAGTACTGCCAAACGGGATACTAAACCTCACCTGCTTGCATCTGAATGTAAAGTGAACTATCAAATCACCTGCCCAACATTCAGAACTTGTTTATATAGCCATTTTGGCACTTTAATTGTATACGACCGTATCTCGTCGTTTTCGAGACTTCTTAAGGAATTCATAGGGATCCCTAGAGGTGTACCTGGACGGTACCATGTTATTGAGGATGAGGGGGTTAGGGTTAGGGCTAGTATTGACTGAATAGCGAATACTATTAAGATTAACAACCCCCCCCCCCCCTTCCCGTCTTTTCCATACTATAGGACGTTCTGGGGATTTTCCAACTAAATCTCGAAGCCGACGAGATGTGGTCGTATAAGATTTAAATACTGCCAGTTGCGTAAAAGGTACAAGGAACGTCACAAAGTAATGCTTCCTTTTTGTTTATTTTTTTTTTCTTTAATAATTCTGTATCAGATGTTAGAAGTGATGACGATCATGGTGATGTGATGACGTATTTGCTTTGTAATGCTGGGGTGCCAGGTTCGATCCCAGCTGCAGGCCTTGCGTTGGTTTTTACAGTGGTATCAAGAAGCCGACCGTCCAGAGGGCAATTGAAAACTACTGGACGTAAACTTGCGTATGAAAACCACAACAGTTAAAAAATGCTGGGGTTGGTTCTGCAACGTCCTGTAAAGGATACGCAAATAACTAACCACCACCATATCTATAAATTCCTGCATTTCTTTCTAACTTGTCGATATCAATACGGTGTCACCAGCATAACGCAGGCTGTTTATGTTATGACCACCAACCACAATTCCTGGCATATAAATGATAGACCTATTTATATATTGACTGTATAATGAAAACAAATCAGGTGATAGTACGCATCCTTGTCTTACTTCCATCTTTAGGCTCTTAAATGTTCCCAAATGGTTATTAATTCTTATAACTGCTGTCTGCTGCCAGTACATGTTCTTTATAATTCGTAAATCTTTTCAGACTGTTTAACTTTTCCCAATAGTTTGATTATTCATGTTTCACACAATCAAGTGCTTTCGTACAGTCAATGTGCTTCTACAGCTCTTTCCGAGAGAGTCTTGAGAATGTAAATGGCATTGCTTGCACTCGTTCCTTCTATAAATCCACACTGTTCTTCGCTAATTCTTAGTTTAATCTTGTTTCTTATTCTTTTTTTTTTTTTTTTTATATTCTCAGTAACATTTTTGTCACATGACTTAAAAGACTTATGGTGTTTACATATTAAAGTGCCTGGTTTCTTTGGCAGAGCAATAAACATTCATTGTAATAGGTCTTTATGAATGTAACTACCACTGTAAATATCATTCAACAATTTTGTTATTATTTCAATTCTGAAATATCACCAAGCTTTAATTTCTTGTGTTGTTGTCTGGCCGGGGTGCCTGTCTTTTTCCTCGTGTCATGCCATGCATCCTCAACTTCTGAAGCAATTAACTGTTGTCTTGCAAATATACTTCTGGTCTGTTATCATCATAAGATCACCCAAGTATTCTGTCTGTCTCTCAATTATGTCACTTTGTCCCATTAATATTTCACCATTTTAGATTTTAAACACCCACTAATGTTGCATCATTTGTTCCATGTTAATATGCTTATCTGTTGGTGCATGGAATTTCTGTCTTTTTTGTGCTTTTCCTCATCTCTGTGCACATCTGATTCAGCCAGTTTTTTTTAGCCTCTTTCATTTGTTCACTATTTATTTGTGTATTCTAGAATAGTCTTCTGTATCATTCCTTTTCTTCCGTCTATCATCAATCATATGTATAGCATACTTTTTTTATTAAATCCAGCTGTAATGTAGGTCTTCGTTTAAAACATTCACTTTATCAAGAACTCAGTCTTCCTCAAAATAATCATTACATTCTTGATCTACAAATCTGTCTAATACGTTTGGAATAAATTCAATTTATTGCTCAGATATATGCTGTGATAAATCCCTTTATGCTATTGCTATTTGCATGTTACACATTCATTTACAATATCACCTGTTAATAATAAAACTCATGTATGCTAATTCGTTTTATCAGAAACATCCAACAAGCACTCCCGCTATTTTGGATTCTGCGCAGACAGAAGTTCAAGAGAAAAGTTCAAAAGCTTCCGGAAAAAAGGATCACGGGAAGGTGTGATGTTATGATTTTAAAACTCAGTGAACAGAAAATAAAGGACCTGTTTCCCACGGCTACATATTTGTCTTTATATAATGCTAGTGTCATATGATGATTTTATTGTCTATTTGCCATCAGCCGCCTTTACTTTCCTTTATTCCCCACCCCAATTCTACTACCATGCCTGCTCCCACTCCCATAGGGGGGAAAAGGTTGATAGGGTTTAGCGCCCCTCTTCCGCGCCCCGCCCCCTCTATACCCGCTCGTGTTATCCCGAAGAGGTTGCAAATTTTAGAGGACCGAGTATACCCGGAATCACATTGTGTATTTTAGGGCCCAGAGATCAACAGCTGACATGATCTTCTCCTTCAGGCAGCCACAAGTGAAGTGCAGAGAGCAACAAAGACCAATGCTTCTTGCCTTCATAGATCTCACTAAAGCCTTTGACTATGACAGCAGAAATGGTCAGGATCCTTGATAAATATGGATGCCTACCTATACTACTAAACCTAATTAAATCCTTTCACGAGAATATGCAGGGAACGATAATATATGAGGATTTCTCGTCCTCACCATTCCAGATTCGTAACGGAGTAAAGCACGGATGCGTGTTGGTTCCTACTCTGTTTGGCATCTTTTTTACTGCATTGTTGAGGTGCGCATTCGAGACAGCCTCTGTAGGGATATATCTCCGTACGAGGCCAGATAGCAATCATTTTAATTTGTCTAAGGTACGTGCAAGAAAGAAGTTGCACACAAGGTGCCTCAAGGATGTTCTTTTTGCAGACGATGCAACCATTCTGGCACATACAAAAGATTATCTGCAGATCCTCGTGAATCGCTTCGCAAACGCATGCAAAGAATTTTTTCTTACCATCAACATAACGCAAGTGATAGGAATAAATGTTTAAAACCCACTAAACTTTATTATTCATGACCATCAGCTGTTGGCTGTACATGGATTTAAGTACCTGTGGCTCACGAATCTCAGGCGATCATTCTCTAGGTGCAGAGGTAAATATACATACAGAAAAGGCCTCTGCAATGTTTTAAATCCCAGGCGATCGTTCTGTAGATGCAGAGATAAATAAACATAGAGAAAAGGCCTCTGCAATGTTTTCAAATCTCACTACGAGAGTCTGGTCAAACGAAAGGCTCACTGTTAATACCGAAATGAAAATGTATGAGTCTTGTCTTGAGTACGCTACTGTGCGGTAGCGAATCCTATATGCTCTTCAAGAAAATAGACTAAATACATTCCATATGCGCTGCATGAGGCGCATCCTTGGTATATCAGGGTGAGACATTGTCTCCAACGAATGTGTACTCACAAGAGCAGCAGTATCATCAATGTACTGTCTACTGAAGCATTGACGTCCACGCTGGCTGGGAAACAGAGACTTGCGACAATTCAGCTGCAGGTCGACTACTATGGCGACAGAAAGTGAAAGTGTCGCATTTTGAAAGAAACTAAACGCAGCTGGAGAATAAGTTAGCCTCCTAGTGAGGGAATATCTACTTGTTTGTGTATCCTATGTGACAGAGGGAGTCTCCGTGGCGAAGCGGCTAGACACTCGCTGCTGATCGGAATGTCGTGGGCTCACTCCCTGGCGGAGCCGGATTTTTTCCAAAAATGACCTTCGCTCCCAGGTCGACCCAGCCTTGAGTGGGTACCGATTGCAGTCCCGGAAAGTAAAGGCAACCGGCGCAATGCTGACCACATCACCCATCTAGAGTCGATTGGTCCATTAAATATAGGTCTAGCCCTAAATGCCCTATACGCTTAAAGGCGTGGAAAAGGGTCCTTTACAATGTGACAGAGACTGTCACTCCCGCATCGGATTTTACAGTTTCAGCAGATGCTGTTCCCAAATCCAACGGCACATTTCCGTAGTACCCATGGACTGAAGGATACCAGTATTGTGCATTTCATATTATTTCAAGAATATAATTATGTATATCTGCCATCCAGCGCATTTATTATCATTATTATTGTTAGTCGCCGTGGTGTAGCGACTAGAATCTTGTTATTAATCGTGGTTTCGGATCAGAACTTCGTCAGTTCGGGTTCTGACGGAGCCTGACATTTTTGTTTTCAGAAATGACCTTGGCCCTCAGGTAGACTCAGCTTTGAGGGGGGTGGCAGCTACAGTCCTGGGAGGCAAAAGCAGCTGACGTGGTGCTTACCACATGGCCCGAAAAGTGCAGATTGTTTTAGAAAATATAGGTCTAACCCTGGCATCAATAGGCATGGAAAAATCCCCATGAGGAATTATGTGGGGCTACCTAAGAATTAAGTTGGGGGGGGGGGGGGGTGTCTCAAGGAGCGACATGTTCCGGAATCATATTTTTTTTCTGGCTTTCAGTTTCAGCGTAGTTCAACCTGGAAGGTCGTTCGTAAAGTTAAGGACGCTTTTCTTCGCCTTAAGGCGCATTGGGCTAGACCGATATTTTGAAGACCAGTTGGCACTTTATGGATGGTTTGGTCAGCATCACTAGGCGCCGCCTTTACTTCGCATGACTGCACCTGGAACTCATTGAAGACTGGGTCAGCCTTGGAGTCAAGCATCTGTCAGAAACCGAACCCACGACATATCTATCCGCAGGCGAGAGTTTAGCAATTGTGGCTCCTTTAAAAAAATTTAACTGAAAGCTACCAGTTTAATTTATTCTGCCTAATCGGCTATTTTCTTGACTCCTCCAGAAAGCCACTCGACAGAGCTCGTTTACCGGACGACTGATGACGTCGGTATCCGAGTGGCGACGAAAACCCCCGAATCCAGTCAAAGATGTCCCCCGGAGCAGAAAACACAAGAAGCCAGATATCGAGGATAAGGTCGAGCCACAAAACAACAACACACGACGAGTGCCGATTTTTGTGTCACCGCAAGATCAAGTTGAGATAGTGGAAGATGGTCAGTGATCTTCTTTGTTTGTCATGTGTATTTTTGTGAAAGATAGAGAGAGAGAAAGAAAGAGAGAGAGAGAGAGAGAGAGAGAGAGAGAGAGAGAGAGAGAGAGAGAGAGAAGGGGGGAGGGAGGGAGAGAGGATTGATGGTCAGACGGACGGATGGGTAGATGGATGGATGGATGGATGAATGGGTGGATAGGTGGATGTGAAGAAAGAGAAAGGATAGCGAGGCAGATAAAGAAAGAAAGAAGAGAGGGGGAAGATAGAGGTACAGGGAGAGAATGAAAGAGTGATAACTAGAGAGAGAGAGAGAGAGAGGAGAGGGAGAAAGAGAGAGGTTCAGTTTGTCCCCTTTGTTGCCTGAAAATGTGACCAGAATGTCTCAAAGAGCCAATAATTATCGGCGAATCCAATAGGAGTTAATCCAACAGAACCAGAAAAAAAAAAAAAAAATAGATCGTCGTGGTCGAGTGGTTAACGCGATGGAGAGAAAGAGAAGGATTCTCTCCAGTTTCTATCGTAGGTTTGAGATTTGATAGATAACAGGGAAAGTACGAACTACAGTTCCAGTTTAAGTGAAAATATACTATTGCAGATACTTAAAGCTGCCAATTATTTTGTGCAACAGGCCTATCTCATTAAACATAAGAAAACGATTACTGCAATATTTTATTGCGCCAGTGCTGCTTCGTCGTTGTGAATCTTGGAATGCGAAGAAGAACTTGGAGGCAGCGGGCATGTGGTTTCTGAGACGCATGCTGTGAATACAATGCACAGGCAGCGTAACTAACAACGACTGTCTGGAAATGGTAAATGACATTAGAAAATTAGCTTCAACTATAATAAACAGGCAGTAGGTGTTCTTCCGCCATGTGATGAGAAGGGAGACATTGGAGAAGAACATCGTGACGTCTGGAAAGATCAACGGTAGAAGAGGCAGTGACAGATCAAGAGAGTCGATGCTTGACGACCTGAAGCGATGGAATGGTGGAATATCAAGGACCAATATCTATGGACCGACGTGGGTATACACCCAGGTCCTCCAAATTTCCGTCACCAGGTGGGCAGGCTCTGTGAACTCCCATGTTAATTTCTGCTCCTCCATAGTTTCCATAGCTTGTTCTGCCCGCTTCCCATCCAGACTAAATTCATTTGCGATAAAGACGAAGAGTTGATTTTCTTTCCAGCTCCCACTGGCATTCGACAAGAACAGAAAATCATTCTTAAAGAATCCTGGTCAGTGATCAAATCCGATGTTGAAGAAGTTGGCGTGGAGACTTTCATGGGGTAGGTTCCATTTATTTCAGCATTTTCGCCTCCCCTGGTTTGGCGCCAATGCACGATTTGAGGGATTTTATATCTGGTTTCCCGGGGCCCCATACTGTGTGGAAAAAGAAAGCACCCACTGTGCCCTAACAGTAGAAGCCGACTAATTAGGGTGTCTGCTTCGAAGTTAGGGTGAATAAGCCTAGAAGGCCAGGGACCAAACAATCTTGCATACAAATAAGTCAAATCTGTAGAAAAGATTTGCATACACAACTCAAGTTCAAATCAATTGTAGGAACCACACCATGCCTGCAATACATAAAGAAGCAACAAATAGAGTGGTTTGGCCACTTGATGCGAATGCAAACCGACCAACTGCCTCTACGAGCATACAACGAACAGCCCTACTGCCCTAGAGCAAGAGGCAGACCGAGAGTACGATGGATAGACAATATATCAGAAATCCTGAGGCAACACGGACTAACAACAACACGTGCAACACACCTGGCCCAGGATAGAAAACTGCGACTCCCCACTACGCTGTGAGGCAATTGTGGACAAAACAAGACTCAAGTTCTGGAACAAGACGACAGTCCATCCTTAGAGAACAACCAGAACTTTCCGCCGGAATTTAGAGCTGATGAGGGAGAAGAAGATGATGAAAAGGTTTTGGGGGATAAAGGAGGGGGGGGGGAGAGATTAAGAAGAAGAACAGTGTTCCTCTTGTTCTTTACGTCAAGGTTTTTTTTACGTCATTGACACAAATGACGTAAAATGCTAGACCATTGAGCACTTAGTGGGTAATTCGGTCACCATCACACCGGCCGACTTTACTTCCCAGGACTGTACTTGGCATCCATTTTATTCAACGTCGACCTGGTAGCCAAGATGAATTTTGAAGGAAATTAGCCTTTATGCACATTTGAACCCAGAAACTTCGGGCCGACTTGCGAACGTCTACCATACATATTCATTAATTAAAATGTCGATATTTAAAGGGAATCAATCGAGAAATATTTATTCTTCAGAGAAGAGTTATCTCTTCTTTTTCTTCTTCTTCTTCTTCTTCTTCTTCTTCTTCTTCTTCTTCTTCTTCTTCTTCTTCTTCTTCTTCTTCTTCTTCTTCTTCTTAGCGTTAGATTTTGTTTGCTCATGCTAGACCGTCAGGAGGGCTGGCTGTATGAACTCGCATGTCATAGCTTGTTCTGTCCCCTCCAATGCAGACTTATATAACTTACACAACCCACTTATGATTCCTGGCACACTTCCATCACGTCTACAGACATGTTGTCTCATTCCAGCATATAACTTCTCAGTTTATTAATGTCATATACTATCTACATTTATTTTTGTTTTATATTACCGCAGTTTATTCTCCGCCATATGTTAAATCAGTTTATTCTCAACTATATGTTATCGCTGTTAAGTCTGTCACTTTATCTCAGCTTATAGTTTGTCTTATATTATCTTACTTTATTCTCTGCAATATGATATCTCAGTTTATCTCAGCTTATCGTTTGTCTTATATTATCTTACTTTATTCTCTGCAATATGATATCTCAGTTTATTCTCTACCTTACATCATTTATTGTCTGCCCTATATTATTATCTTCTATACGATATCGCAGTTATTTATGTCATGATGCCAATGGTTTTTTTCCTTTTTTTTTTTTTTTTTATTTTTTTTTTTTTTAATTATCCTTTATTTTATAAATATAAATATTATTGCAGTTTATTGTCTAGCATATATTATTTAAGTTTTTTTGCTGCAATACATTACCTCAGTTTATTATGTACGATATATCATTTACGTTTATTCTGTACTCTATGTTGTCTCATTTTATTCTGTACCATACCATATGCTACCTCAGCTTATTCTCTACCATATATTACCTCAGTTTATGTTCTACAGTGCATTATATCAGGTTATTCTCTACCCTATTTTATCTCAGTTTATTCTTCATCATATGTTATAGTAGTAAATCTGCCACGTCTGCAATGTTATTTCAATTTATTTGCTGTCATAAATTTATCTTAATTTATTCTCTGCCATATATTTATCTTAGTTTACTCCCTATCATATATTTATCTCAATTTATTCTCTAACATATATTTATCTCAGTTTTTTTTTCTACCATATATTTATCTCAGTTTATTCTCTACCATATTTTATCTCAATTTATTCTCTACCATATATTTATCTTAGTTTATTCTCTACCATATATTTAACTCAATTTATTCTCTACCATATATTTATCTCAGTTTATTCCCTAGCATATATTTATCTCAATTTATTCTCTACTTTTTATTTATCTCAATTTATTCTCTACCATATATTTATCTTAGATTATTCTCTACCATATATTTAACTCAATTTATTCTCTACCATATATTTATCTCAGTTTATTCCCTACCATATATTTATCTCAATTTATTCTCTACTATATATATATATATATATATATATATATATATATATATATATATATATATATATATATATATATATATATATCTCTCAATTTTTTTCTCTGCCATATATTTATCTCAATTTTTTTCTCTACCATATTTTATCTCAATTTATTCCCTACCATATATTTATCTCAATTTGTTCTCTACCGTATATATATCTCAATTTATTCTCTACCATATATTTCTCAATTACTTTCCTACCATTTTGTTTATCTCAGTTTATTCCACACTCACCCGGACTCCATCGACTCATTCATGGCCTTCAAGGACAAGGCGGTGGAGGACATCGAAAAGAGCGCGGTCCTTAAAGTAAGTTGCTCGTTGCTGTTTTACTAAGAAAAAAAAACTTTATTTCACACCACATGACGTCCTAGATATAGGACGATTTGTGGTGGTGGTGGTGGCGTTGGTGGTAAAGTGATGGTGCAGTTTGTTGGGGTATTTGTGATTATGGTAGAAGTGCTGTAAAGTAAAGAAAATGTCTTTCTTTTACCAGTCGGTCATTGGATGCCCTATGCTAGCCTCATATTTCTCTAGACCTTAGTGTGCGATATGGTCAGCATCCTTCAGGCCGGTCGCGTTTACTTTCCAGAATATTACTTGGTACTCATAGCTGTCTTAACCCACGGGCAAGCATAAGGGTTCCATACTCATCTGTGTATGTAAAGTGGCTTGCTACAAATAAAAAAAATATGTTTGCCGCAACACTGTGTGCTGCATATAAGGGACTGTGACGGACAATTGAGTAGTTTTCGTTAGCGCAGGAACGAGGCAACTATAAGGGGACCATTTTGCTATGAAGTTGATACGCCGTTTACCTGATTACCTAATTCTGAAGTCTTTGAAAATCTAGGGACTTTTTTTTTTTTTTTTTTGTCGTCACACTGTTACTGGGTTGTAACCCAGTGTCGTGGTTTTCTGTATTTGTCTTGCGCTCTTCTGGTGGCTTGAGTTATTGATTTGTTCAACTTTTTGCATGGTCGTATTCCAACTTTCTCTCTAATGCTGCTATTCGTAATCCTGTCTTATATAGTGTTGTTAGTGCATAGGGAGCAGTTTAATGAATATGCATTTAGAGCCAGGAGTATGTGTTCAAATACAAATTACATTGATAGGGAAAACGGGAACGACAACGAAGTCTTCGTCTTACTAGCATGATGGATCAGCAGGGATGCCAGAAGAGGTACTTTTCTACAAAACTGACAAATGCAAGGTGCAAACGTTCCTCCCTACTCTGTTGAATGTTAAATGTTAAATAAAAAATCGACACCACAGCACTCGGGACACTCCCATAAGTGCTCCGTCCCCATCTTCAGCAGCAAGCAAAGAGCTCCAATTCCCATGGCACCAGGAACCGTATGATTGTATATCCGTCTCATCCTTCACCTGGGTGTTGGCCGTCGGCCAGATCCCCTGGTAACTCCTCGCAGCGCCATTCTCCTCAGACCGTACTGATTGTTCACTCCGCACTGTTCACTCGTTCCCACAGAGCCCTCACAAAATCTGTCTTGTCATACACCAGTTAACCACCAAGTGGCGCAGAGCTGGTAATTCTTCTGCCTGCTCATTTCCCAACACACCGCCATGACCTGAAGAAAACTTTCAAAGGATGCTAACTACCTGGAACCTCGAAGTGATGCTTGCCACTCTGCACGAAGCATGCCTATCTTCACCTTTCTCAACATGAGCACTTATCTCTGAAATGACAATACGTGTCCCCTTGACCTTATTATAATGATATTTTAAATTAATATGAGTCTCTTAAGTACTTTATGTGCATAAAAATTATTCTGGACAATGAGAAATTTATTCTTTCGAATGTTGAAATTGCACTCAGAGTGTCAGTATGAATGATAGTAACCAGATGTACAAGAGAACATTCTTTTCAAGAATAAAACACAAATGGGCAGCATAGTCTGAATTGGCTTTTACTCAAGTGCATGGGAAATGACGCCATGAAGACCACTTACTTCAAGCCAATAATAAAGAGATGTTGTGAAAATAAAGGACGCAAATGCTAGTTAAAATGAGAAATTTGTAGTCATTTCATTTTCTGACACCTAATTTATGAATATAGTTTAGCATAAGTTTTGTTGAAGTGCCAGTGAAATAAATAAATATATATATATATATATATATATGTGTGTAGTTTTATGTACCATTTACATTTCGTCACTGTGAGTGAGTGTCATAGGGGCCCCAGCACACAGGTTTTCCTGAAGGCCTATCATGTTGTTAAGACGGTCCTGCTACTACCCATTTTAGGGTGGGCCGACCTGGGTCCCAGTGTCATATTTCAAAATAAGAAGAAAAATTACCTTCGGTGAGGTTTTGAACCTGAGATATTTGGACCGCAGGCGAACGTCCAGCCACAATACTACAGCGATTCCCCGTAAAAGTGAACAGCATTTTCTGCATCTTTAAGGCGACAAACAGCCATGTATATAAAACTTAAGAACTCTTTTTCACGTCATCGGGCGTATTAGGCATGTAGGGCTAGACCTATATTTCATAGACCAATCAGCACTCGGTGGGTGACATGGTCAACATTCCCAGGACTTTACCTGCCACCCGTTAAAGACTGGCTCGACCGGCCAGCCCACGTCATTTTTTTTAAGAAACACAAAAGTACCGCCCCCGCCTCCCTCATGACTCGAACCCACGACCTTCGAATCCGCAGGCGAGCGTCTAGCCACCACACCACAGTTGCCCACAGTGGACTTTTATTTTACAGTGTCTGTTATCTTCTATAATTTTAAACGGTATTGCACCCCCCCCCCCCCCCCCCCATTATCACATGATTTGACACAATGACCAGGCAGTTCCCACAGGGTAATGGTTGCAGGGTTTTAAAAAAAGGGGGAGGGGTGAGCACACAGATACAACCAAACAATTCGCTCAGTCTGATAATGAACTAGAAGAATCCTAACCACAACCAATAAATAAAAAGTCACAACTAAAAAATAGAAAGTCATAACCAATAAATAGAGAGCCACAACCAATAAATAGAAAGCCACAACCAATAAATATAAAGTCACAACCAATAAATAGAAAGTCACAACCAATAAATAGAAAGTCACAACCAATAAATAGAGAGTCACAACCAATAAATAAAAAGTCACAACCAATAAATAGAAAGTCACAAGGAGCTATTTTCAACACCCTCACGGGACACAATTTAACACAAATTGTGACTAGGAAGTTTAACAAGAACAAAGAAAAAGACATGCTCAGATACAACTGAACGTTTCAACCAAAGTGTTTATTATTAACGAATTAAATCATCCTAAGCGACAAACCTGACGAAAGAGTCACGCTAGGCTATTTTGAACTTATCGGTTATTTTCCTGGTTAGTTCGACGTAAGTCTCCCCAGACCCTACCCATATACACGCTAGCTGACTTCTGTTTGGTAGTTCCTGAGCCCCGTGACCTTCGGACAAGGGTGTTCCGCAATGCTGTTGATATCGCGAATTTGTATTTCAGAACGCCAGCGCTTTTAACACTAAAAAAATATGGAGAAATTTGGTCTAACACAACCCCCCCCCCCCCCCCCGAGAGTACTGCAACCTATGTCACAGGCATTCTCTTTCTCGGAATGAAAACGTAAATGCATGACATCGCAGAAACCAAACAACAGAGTGAGACACACCCGTAACATTTAAGAAAGTCGACCAGCCCAACAAACTTGTGAATAAAAAGTGACCTACTGTAGTAGGGGAGACTAACGTCTAACTAACAATTTCCCTATAGCGCTGAGACGCACAGCTGAAAAATCTGTTGGCTTTTAACTTTTGTGTACTCAACAGAAACGACGTTATTATATAGTGGTTTCATATTATGTGGTAGTGGTAGTAATAAAGTGGTAGTGTTCTGGTGTGGTTGTGGTTGTTGCAGTGGTGGTGGTATTAGTAGTAGTAGAGTAGTGTTAGGGTGGCCTTTGTCGCTGTGGTATTAGCAGTAGAGTTGAATGGTGGTTGTGGTGGTCGTAGTAGTACTAGTGGTGGCGGCAGTAGTAGTAGAGTGCTGGTAGTAGTGGTGGTAGTAGAGTGGTGATGGTCGTTGTGGTTGTGGTTGTGGTGATAGTAATAAGAAAATGGTGTTAGAGGTGGTGGCAGTAGTAGTAGTAGTAGTAGTAGTAGTAGTAGAAGTAGTAGTAGTAGTAGTAGTAGTAGTAGTAGTAGTAGTAGTAGTAGTAGTAGTAGTAGTAGTGTAGTAGTAGTAGTAGTAGTAGTAGCAGTAGTAGTAGTAGTAGCAGTAGCAGTGTGATGGTAGTAATTGTATCGTGATGGTTATAGTAATCGTAGTAGTACTGGTGGTAGGGGAGGTATTAATAGTACGGGAGCAGTGGTGGGAGTTGGCGTAGTAGCAGTAGAAGCAGTAGCAGAGGTACTGGTAGTAGTTGCAGTGGTGACAGTATTGTGATGATCTATTTTCTAATACTTCCTTCCTTGTTTTGAAAAAAAAAATCGTTGCGTTTAACCAGCATCCCCGAAAGGGAGCTTTTGGTTATAATTGTTATTTGCGCCATATAAAATGGCCACCAAGTAGCCCTGAAAATAACTCTTGCAATGTTGATGCGATCAAAGGAGACAGACCCAAATAGTGTTGCGACTGGCGACGAAGTCGTCTACTGGCCAGCCGAGAGGCAACCTGGTCGATGATGATGTTCCTAACACTTCTCCAAAGAGCCGGGTTCAAATCTGCTGGCCTGTCACTACCTAGTGTACGAGTATGATGTGACGTAAAATAATTGCTATACCTTTGCGGTGTGTTCCTAACTACAGGCACACGCTTTGCGAGTCATGCAGACTGTGGATAAATGCATCACAAGACTTGATGACGTAGACAAGATGGCGACTATTCTCTGTCAGCTAGGGAGGCGCCATGTTGGATACAAAGCAAATGCCAGTCTGGTTCCGGTATGGATGAATTTATGTCGTTTTTGTCAAATAGTTTTTGTTGTTTCTTATTGTTTTTGCTTTTTTTATAAACAAAGACTTGTAATTGTTTTCATAGAAATAATATTAGTATTATATTTATATGTTAATGGTTACTTTAATTCTCCACAAGATTTAACCCCTCCCCCACAAAAGGCGGAAAAAGGGGATGACCAAAGGAAAAACGGTTTGGCAAGAGATGAAATGACAAAAAAAAAAATAAATAAACAAGATGATCCGAAATCACTAGAATAATTCCTTAAAAGTCGAAGTCTATCTATCTACCTACAAGGAACCGACAGTCTGCACATAAATTAATCAGGTCTGTAAAACGGATGCGTACGCAAAACTTGGGTTCTGGAACAGGGCTACAGTATTGTTCAGTATTGACGAACAACCAGAATTTGCCGCTAGAGTTTATAGCTCGTGAACGCAAAGAAGAAGACTATAAAAATATTTTTTTGAAGTGTTTGTTTCGTGAGGAAGTTTCTTTGATTTCGTGGTGCTAACAATTAGGGCTGTACCGAATAGTGATTTCCACTATTCGGCCAAATACGAATAGCTGGACCAACTATTCGACCCAATACGAATAGTGAATCATCATCACCAGGTGCTTTGCCGACTGTCATGGGCGATTATGCCTCGCCACAATCTGCGATCTCCTGCAGCATGAATTAGTTCGTGTACTGACACACCCCCATGTCATGCAACAAGACTATCAAGAATCTTCTCTCGTTGTCTTCCTCAATCCCTTCTTCCACATATCTTTCCAGTGGTCACCACATGTTCCATTTCCTCCATCTAATAACATGGCCGAAAAATTATGACTGTTTCCTTCTGATGTCTGTGAGTGGTTGTCTTCAAGCTCCCGCCTCTTTCAAAACCTCTTGGTTGCTTTTTTTTCTGTCCAAGGTATTTTAAGCATTGTTCTGTAAAACCACATCTCTGAGGCCTCAAGAAATTGTTTGGCCTGCCTACCGATTGTCCAGGACTCACAGCCATATGTTGAAACTGGATGTATGTAGCAAGCAAGAATTCTTTTTCTAACCTTCAATGACATAAGATGTTCTTCATTTTATAAAATGCAGTTTTTGCGTGCCCTATTCTGTTTCTTATTTCAGTAATGCATCTTCCATCTGATGTTATCCATATGCCCAGATACTTAAATTTCTCTACTTGTCCCAAAATAAAACCATTGACTTTTATTACACATTTAGGAATAATTATTTTCGTTGATACCACCATTACTTCTGTCTTCCCACTATTCAAACTGAGGCCCATTCCTCCACTTTCGAATAGTGTGTAGCGTACAAAAAAGATCTAAAAAAAAAAAAAAACATTCATAATGTCAACTGTACGCTGAGATTTTTCTTCACAAAATATAGTACAGAATAGTAAACATTTAGAAACATTTTATGTTTTGCATCCTTCAGTCAGTCAGTCTGTGGTAACTAATACCTAGGAATGAAAGTATATTATTACTTATAACAAGTAACTAAACTTGTAAATTGACACTGACAGCTTATTTAATCCACGAACGCGGCATAAGCTTTCATACACACAAACACACACACACACACACACACACACACAACTTCGTTCCATGTTGTCAGCATTATGGCAGCTTCTTGTCTCACTGAAGGTATTTTCAGCTGTACTAAACAGACGTTCACTTGGTACGCTCGTAAGTGGGGCACAAAGATAACACTTGACAGTATGAACCAAGGTAGGAAATCTTGATATGTTTATTTTCCACCAGTCCAGAAACGGGTGTAAGGTAACCACTATTCGTATTCGGCCCGACCGCAACTATTCGGCCGAATACCGAATAGTTATTAGGTCCACTATTCGGCCCCTAAGTGAATACGAAGTACAGTATTCGAAGTAGCGAATATTCGGTACAGCCCTACTAACAATAGTAGTGTGGGTAGGAGTAGTAGTGGTGATGGTGGTTTTGATAGTAGTGATAGTGGTAGTAGTAGGTCATAGGTATACTGGTAGTAGTCGTACTAGTAGTAGTTGAAGTAGTCGTGGTAGTCGTAGTGCTGGTTGTGATATCGATAAGTAGTTAGTAGTGATGGTGGTTATAGTAGTACAAGTAGTGGTAGTTGCAGTAGTTGTACTGGTGGTAGATGTATTTGTGGAAGTTGTGGTAGTAGCATGAGGAGAAGGGGGTGGGGGCTGCAGTGGCCCAATAGTGATAGTGACATTATTGTTCGTTTATTTCTTGCGTGTTTTCTGTCGTTTCCTATTCTTTCTGTTTTTCTTTCTTTGTTTCTTTCTTTCTTTGTTTCTTTCTTTCTTTGTTTCTTTCTTTCTTTCTTTCTTTCTTTCTTTCTTTCTTTCTTTCTTTCTTTCTTTCTTTCTTTCTTTCTTTCTTTCTTTCTTTCTTTCTTTCTTTCTTTCTTTCTTTCTTTCTTTCTTTCTTTCTTTCTTTCTTTCTTTCTTTCTTTCTTAGTTTGTTTATGTATTTATATTTTATCTTCCTTTCTTTCCTTTCTTTCTTTTTTTTTTCTTTTTTTTCTTCTTTCTTTCTTTCTTTCTTTCCTTCCTTTTTTGTGTCTTTCTATACTTTCTTCCTTCTTTATCCTTTCCTTTTTTCTTCCTTCTTTCTTTCTTTCTTTTTTCTTTATTTCTTTCTTTCTTTCTTTCTTTCTTTCTTTCTTTCTTTCTTTCTTTCTTTCTTTCTTTCTTTCTTTCTTTCTTTCTTTCTTTCTTTCTTTCTTTCTTTCTTTCTTTCTTTCTTTCTTTCTTTCTTTCTTTCTTTCTTTCTTTCTTTCTTTCTTTCTTTCTTTCTTTCTTTCTTTCTTCTTTTCTGTTCTATTTTTCTTTCTTTTCTTTCTTTCTTTCTTTCTTTCTTTCTTTCTTTCTTTCTTTCTTTCTTTCTTTCTTTCTTTCTTTCTTTCTTTCTTTCTTTCTCTCTTTCTTTCTATATACTTTTTCTACGCCGTGTACTATTTCTAGCGGTGTTTTTTTTACCCCTATGGTATAGATGGCGTTTAAGTCTTTCCCCCTATGCTATTAATCTTTTTCAAAGGTCATACATCCAGTGTTTCGTATCCCTTCCACAGATGATTGGCAAACAGTTCATTTCAGCCATCGAGCCAAAGATGGCGGACAAGTGGTCAGACGAGGTGGGCAAGGCGTGGGACTGCCTGTTCAACATCATCAATTACAACTTGCGACGAGGAATGATGCAAGAGAAGCACCGACTGCAGGACGAGACCAATGCCAAACAGAAGAAGTAGCCAGATGTTGCCACGAAGAATGTTTCTTAACTAATTCTTTGTATGATTTCAGCCACCTGAAATAGCTACCACCATTTCATAATATCACACTCCGCTTAGGGCACCTCCAGCCATCGGCATTGACATCAAGAAAACATGGCTTAGGAGGCATTCAAGCCTACCCAGTTTTACAAATGTTTTATGCAAGGGCTGGGTGGCACGTGCGGCATATTCTAGTTCTAAATAATAATGATAATAATAATAATAATAATAATAATAATAATAATAATAATAATAATAATAATAATAATAATAATAATAATAATAATAATAATAATAATGCTCTGAATGCCCACAAAAATACAAAAATTTGTGTGAAACAATGTTACATGAATATACAAAAACGTTTAAAGAGAATTTCTATACTATGCATGTTAAATACCGAGTTTTACCTACATTTTTACCTTCAAGATGTGCTAGCACTTGTTATCAGTCAATGTCTTATTTTAATTTTATGTATTTCTTTTTCTGTAACTAATGTATAATTCTTCTTCTGCCTTCTTTCCTCAAATGGAGCATAGGCCCTCAACCAACTCACGCCGAGTCGTTCTCTCCTTGGCTTTTGCCATGTCCTCTCCATCTTTTTAACGTCTAGCTTCCTTCTCCATGCGTTTCCTTTTTCCTCCTTTATTTCTGTGCTCATGTGGGTCTAGTGCAAGGACATTCTAGTTATACTGTTCCCAGGTTTTCTCACTGTATGTCCTATCCAAAGTCAGCGTCTTTTCTTTACCTTTTGGTCTACTTGAACTGGTTTAGTGATCTCCCAGAAGTCTACATTAATTACTCTATCGTACCATTTGATTCCCTGTTCTGCGCAAGCACCAGTTAATAAATACAGTCAAGTCCACTTAAGTCGAACTCGGATAAGTCGAATTTCGGTTAAGTCGACATGACCAGCTTAGTCCCGGCAATTTTCTCTATTGTGTGTGCTGTCTGGATAAGTAGAAATCCTGATAAGTGGAAGCATTTTTTTAGGTCCCTGCGACTTTTGCTTATCTAGACTCGACTGTATTTGTAGTCTTTTAGTAATTGCCTTAGTTGTTCTCCATGTTTCCGCTCCATACAACAGTACTAATGTGAAATTAGAATTTAAAATTTTCAGTTTGGTATATTATTTAATTTCTGTTAACCTCCACACTTTTCCTTGTGCTATGAAAGCTACTCTTGCAAGAACAAAAATAATTACATCATATTTTATTGAAAGTATTAATATCATATGATTATTTAATTACAGTATACTAATTTATACATTAATTACTTTATAATTCAATACGCCCGAAGTACGTTTTATCGTAAGAACGAAATCCGTTTGTCTAGCTGACGATCTCAACTAGGGCTTAAATCTGGGGTAGGGCTTTTATCACGATCATCCTGAACAACCATGCTAGGGCCTTTTTTGGGGGGTTAGGTCTAAATTTTTAGTTGAAATCCGGCAGATAAGTTGCCGGTCAGACCAACCCCCAACCCCTCTTCCCTTAAAAATAAATTGGAGAGAAGATAAGATAAAATAGAAAAATAATCTAGAACAGAAACCTGACTTTTAATTAAAGGGTTTTCACTTTATATGTGTTCGTAAGACAGCTACGACATGTTTGTGACACTGTGATATAGTCTTTAGTCTAAAAGCCACAGGCAGGATAGGTGGTGTATTGCCTAAACATTTGCTTGACAGCCTGAATATCCTAGATTCAAATCCACACCCAGACATATTCGCTTTTTAAATTTCACTTTAACCTCCAGACCGACTCAGCCAAACGGGATAACCGAAAATGCGTTAGGGGCTATGTTATTAAAATCTACATCACTGCATATTGGGCATTCCCATCTGTGCTCAATCCTCTGATGCAGCAGCCACTCCAAGGTATCTTTACTGTGTGTTCCTATGATGAGTTTGTTATATTGTCTCCTATCTCGACTTAGAGGATTGAGGTTTGGACAACGGATCAACATCATGGCACACGGGTTGTAGCTCCGTTCATCTTCTAACTCAAGTGTGAGTCCGAATTAGCTCAGCACTGTGCACAGGCTCTGTAGTATCGGCGAGGATCATGAAATACTTTAAGTAAATTTTAACTCCAAATTTTTTTTCGGACTGCACCGTTAGGCTACTCTTTTCGATTAGCAACGGTCAAGGGATGTTTTTACGTGCGCAACAATGCACACGTGCGTCCGATTTCACTACCCAGTGATCAGGGGGAATTACTAGGAGTCCAAGTCCATGTGAAAAAATCCCAGCCCTTACCGGGGATTGAACCTCGAACCTCTAGGCGGACATAATGCCTCGAGACCACGTAGCCCCCTTTTGACCTTGAATGCGGCATAAACGCGATTCACCATTCTTTACTCACATGCCACACAATCGTGTTAGAGCTAGGGGTAATCTTTACGGAAGGAAAGGCGGCAGTCGTGACGTTGGCCGCAAAAGTCATTATTAGCCGATTGCTGGTGGTGGTGGTGGTGATGGTGGTGGTGGGGGGGGGGGAAGATTTATGAGTCTTGTGCTATTTACCCAGTGGTATTCGGTCGCGATCAGCGTCCGTGGCTCAGGCGTTGCGAATCCGATTCGTAATTCCAGCGCACCACGATCGAAACCCACTGCTGGCTGCGTGGATTTTTATCATAGTATGGGGCGTCGCAGGTCGACCCAGCCTAAAGTGGGTACCAATATGTATGTCCTGGGCAAGTAAAGACGGCCGACGTAATGCTGAACACATTACCCACTTAGTGTCGATTGGTCTGTAAAAATATGGGTGCTCTTTCCATCTGCCCGATGCACCTACAGGAGTGAAAAAAGGAATCTTATTCAGTCGCAACAACAACCCCAGGCATAGACAGAAAGGCCGAAGAATGTGGTCTGATACTGCATTCAATGACCCTTGAAAATGTCTACAACTCTTAGCCTAAACTCGAATGGACACACACCGATGGATCATTAGAGGGAGCAGCAGTGAACGGGGGAGCTGGTTCGGTCATCATGCTGCAAGAAGGGACCACAGTGTCTACACACGTCATGTGCCTCAGGGAAACTCTTCACAAACTTCAGAGCAGCAAGCAATTATTATGCAACCAAAGCGATTGAGGAAAGAAAAATCAAAAACAGCAAATCCTATTGACTATGTGTCAATCCTCTAAGTGACTCAAAGGTATCCACGAGACAGAGTGGAGAGACAACTGACCTGCCAGCTAAACAGACTCTGAGAAAACAATTAAATTGTTCTCCATTGGATCAATGCCGGTACTCACTGCAAAGTGTCTATTTCATCAAGGCTGAGAAAAAAAAATTATGCCGGTACTGCATTCCGATGTATCTAAGTCGTGAAAAAGGTCCTTTACGCGTTTAGCCCAGGCTCCCCCACCGATTCAGTAGCGGTGCTGGAATTGTCTTTGCTGCATAAGTTTACAAAAATGGCTGTCCTGACAACGTATCCTGAAAACTCGTACCAAGGTTTACTCGTATCCTGAGGTGGCAGTGTAAATGGCTAGAACCTGATGGCAAGGGAAGGTTTTTTTTAACTGTCTGTTACCTGTCCTGGCATTCTGCTTCCGTTGCACATATTAGGGAAGGGAGGGAGGGAGGGAGAGACTGTCAGAAATGCAGACAGACAAAGGCAAACAAACAAACAAACAGACAGGGACAAACAGAAAGAGACAGACTGACAGACACAGACGGACGGACAGACAGAGAGATTCGGGACAGACAAACAGATATACAGACAGAGACAAACGGACAGACAGACAAATAAACAGTCAGAGGTAGATATACAAATATAGAAACAAACTGATTCAGACAGGTACATTTGTTTCTGTGAGTGTGTGTGTTTCTGTGTGTTTGGAGGGGTGGGGGTGGGGTGTATAACACAAACAAGTTAAAAATGTTTTAAGGCTAAGTGCCTTCCTTATTTTGCTTGATGCCTCAACACACATTCTATTTCTGTTTTTGTATCTGTCACGTCACACGCCACATTTTGCGACATCATCACTCTCCTTTTGGAAACTTCATCCAGGCAACATTTTTGTTTATAAATATTGCAAATTGACAGTTTGTTTCGTTAACTTTATTACGTCATTAAATGGAATGTTTCGTTCATTTGTTTTTAAAATGTATTTCTTTTGACCTGAGCTTTGACAAACTTGTGCCGTGACACATCAGTGGCTCAGCTGCAGTGTGAAGGTGTGTCGCGCGAACCAAACGCGTTGAATAGAATAATTGCCGAGGAATGTTAAAATTTAACTGCTTGTTTGCTAGCAGACTTAATTACTTTCTAGCAACATTCTTTTATGAGTTGTGAATTATGAGCTGAGATGTCTTCACTGCACTCCGAACACGTCCGTAAGTGCTCAGACTCACTCTCAACAATGCACTTACAGTTAATGCTGCTAATCCTATGCTGGCTTACAAGACTTCTTGCACATCCGGTGTTCCTCTCATGCCAGGTTGTGCTGCTCTTTCTTTAATTTCCTAGAGTTCAATGGCACAGAAGTTCTTATACTGGTGCACAACAGCTCCAAAGCCCTCGACGAATCTTCCATCAGCACTAGAGTTCAATAGCAGGGGAGTGCTGATTATCGTGCACATAGTCTCCCCCCTACCCCCCCCCCCCCCCCCACACCCCCATTTTTCCCCAACCCTCACTAGGTACTTGAATATCGGTCCAATCCACTATCTATGGCACAATTAACACTTCGTAGTCACCAAACTTAACGCACGAAAAAAAAAAACGCCCAAATAATCTAACGGTTTAAAGGAGTTTCTGGATCTTGTGCATGGGGAAATTCTCCTTCGAATGGTTCCACCTTGTGTCACCTAGTGATAGTCGCTCGTTGTACGGTTTGTTTGAATGTCACCAACCCGGTGTGCCTCTTTTGTCTGGCTGTGTCTATATTTACTCCCAGTTATCTATCCCTAGCTGTGATGTGGACACGCTGTTCTCATATTGCGGAATTAGATTTTCTAAAACGTG